AAATACTACGTGCAAGCCCAAAAATATAGCCTATAGAGCATTAAAAGCACTCCAGATAGCGCATGAAACAACACTTTAAAGCATTTAGAGAAAGCGCTGACAGCATGTTCGCCAATTCTGTCATTTAATAAGATGATGAAATGTACTTCCTGTGATACTGAATCTCCATTACAAGCACAGACAAATCCAGCTATTTTTATCTTATTTATGCTAACATCAAGATTCAGGTTACACCTTTATCAGTGAACTTCTAACAACAAGAGCAGTCTATTGCCTTCAAGCACGTACACCAAGCTACACCAAGAAAACCTACAGTGAACTGGTCTGTAAGCAGCTCAAGAGCAAGAAAAACAACCTCAGTATCGGTTTGATATCTCGATCAGTTTGTTTGTTTTACAGTTGCAGCAATGAAACATTTAAAACAAGACAACGAAGAGAAGCAGACGAACAGGTCCGGAAGTCAAACAATGGACTGCTTGTTTTCTGGGTCGGGCTTGCTGTTGTCTGTTGTGTGTTGTATCGCGCTTATTCACGTGGAATTCAGAATACAAGAACATCATCGACTGATATTACACTCAGTAACATTCTGTGACAACATGGAGACTGAAATCCTTCGAAAAGTGCGACAAAATTATGAACGATGGCAATTTATGGTTCCAGGCCGCCATTGGCAGCCGACCAAAGGCAAGTTTCATATCTCCTGAATTATTATGGTGCGCGTTCTCTTCACCCACCGTAGATATTTTTTTCAATAGAATTTGTCCTCAGCAAAAATGAACACCAAGTAAAGAGGCTTACGGTATGTTGCTGAAACCCAATCTAATAGAGGCGGAAATCTCTTTTCCCATATTTTCCTACTAGCTTGCTGATTATTGGATCACAGAAACCGTTGAATACCAAATTCTTATACCGTTCAACCACGCTAATTTGAACTCGGTTATTGGGAATTCCCCGTTATTTCGAACTCATAACCATTTCCCTTGGATTTGCCCTCCATTCTTTTACCATCGACTATTTCGAACTCCCGCTATATCGAACGATTTTTCGTTTCCCTTGAGAGTTCCAAATAGTAGGTCTCAACTGTATGACAGTGTACGATTTGAAAAAGTTCTTATTTTCCAGGTGAACAAGAAACCCTCTCAAGAAAAAGACGCTCTTTAACAGATGATTCAAAACAAAAATCGACCCTAACAGCCTCTGAAGTACAAGTGTTGATCAAACAAGAACTTGGTCTGCTGCAAAACCAAGTCTGTGCTAAAGATCACACGCTCTGTCGTGAAGGACCAAAAGGGAACACGGGAAGACGAGGAAGACCGGGAACCCGAGGGAGACCCGGACCCCCAGGGAGACCCGGCTCAAACGGACCTCCTGGTAAACATGGACCAATAGGAAGTCAAGGACCCATGG